CGGCACGATGCCCGGTGGTTATTTCGTAAGTGTACCGTGACAGCTGTTCTCTGCAAATAACAACTGAGCTGATCAAATATCCATCGTGACAGGCAGCTTGGTCGGGCATGACCATCAAGTTCATCTCTGACCATGTTGGACCGTCACTTCAGCAGAGACCCAACATTGTACTCATTCACGCCGGTACCAATGACATGAATCCCAGCCCGGACGTAGCCAGGGAGGGCAGCAATCCAAAAGAGGCGGCAGATCGCCTCGGCTACCTCATTGATAAGGTCGTTAATGATTGCCCAGATGCTACCGTCCTTGTCGGGATGATCATCGGCTGTCACGATGAGATGCAAATGAGAAACATTTCTCAGTTTCGATCCTTCATTCCAGGTGTCGTTCAGACGCGGCAGGATGCCGGAAAACATGTTCTCGCCGTCGACTTCTCAACATTTCCCATGGACGCGCTGAGAGATGGCATCCATCCGACGAACCCGGGTTACCAGCTAATGGGAGATTACTGGTACGATTTTATCACGCAGATACCCACCAACTGGATCCAGCAACCGATTGGTGATGACCCCCGTCGCTCTGATGAGCTACGTCCCACGGAGCCTACTGAGGTAGTGTCAGTACATTGGGGCCAGCGACTTCTTGGTTGGGTGTTCGGCAGGACAACAAAGTAGATCAGCGGCTGATATTACCTAAATCTTAGAATACAGTATTGATTATAATTAATGTCTAGAAATTTGAATTTCTCCGGTGACTGTGTCAAACAATACTGCGCGGTTCAGGGTATGCGGATTGACCGAGGCAGATCTAGGGTTCCAGTCCCAGCAATCTTAAATGCAGCGGCGTCAATGAAGATATCCAACCCGTGATGATTAATGAAAACCTGTCGATATCGACCATATGCTCACGCTAGGGCAGATCTGTGATATGTGTGTTTGTTCGCAAGCAGTTAAGCAGAAAGTGAAATAAGCCTTCCCAGCATGGTCGATCATTGCATCCAAGCATGCACGGGCTTTCCCCAACCTGGAAATCCAAAGGATTCTGCCTGATACCCCGAATCCTCAGACCCCACTAGGCAATACAATCCAATTCATCAAGTTTGATGCTGCAGCAACATACCTGTGGCAAACGATGTGGTGGTGGTGGTCGTGGTGTGTGTGGCAGAGACCCATCGCTAGACGCCATACTTCGCAAATCGGCCCAAATCCCGGCGAGTGGCTAAAAGTGCAAGTCCAAAGAAACGCCTGTCAACAGGCAACTGAGGTGCTAGTGACATGCAACAGGGATCAAAAGGGATCCAACATGCGGAATTCCAACACTTGGCGGAGCCTGCATCCTTGACTAGGGAAGCATATATAACCCACCCAATCACCTGCCAAGAACTGTCGGAGTATAGGCACCGGAAGGCTCCCTTGTACTGGCAAAAGACGAACGATGGAACGCGCTTCATTTAGGCTAAATAGCTATTGCCGGTAGTGATCATACAAAGGATGGGGCTGCTTGGCCATTCCCCCGCGGGGTAGCGGTCTAGGGCCTCTATGGGTGTCGCCTAAAGGGAGAACCTCACACACCCTGTTTTTTCTTCCGTTTCACGCTTAACGCAATCCCCATGGGGAGGAGGTCAGCACTTGGTGCCGAGAGTCTCGGTATCTGTCCCTGTCCATGTTGAGTCAGAATCCCACCACTCGCTGTAGGGTCGACCTTTCACGCGGAAGAGTATTATTGGGAGGTGGTCGCGATTTTAAATCCTAGTTATTGATGACCCGTGCCGTTGTGCCGCCAGCATAACTACCTGATGGTAATAAAAGTGCTGACATCCCCCATCGCAGCTCCCGAACCACCGTCCCTCCTTGAGCCAGTTCCCCCGTCGCTGTTCTGAGTTTTTGTTTTTTTTCGAATTTGCATAACGAAGGGGAATTTTTAATCACCGCGACTCGTAATCGAACACATCATTTTGTGGGAAGGCCCAGCTGAGACATCTCAATAGCTATGGGCGGCCACACTTCCGGCAACGCAGCCTACGATGCTGCGTTGCAGAGACGCCAAGCGCTGATGGGCGCCAGTGGTGCCAGAGCTCTAGTCAAGAACTGGAAGGTTGCCCGTATTGCTGCTTTCGCTTGCATTGGAGGCGTTTTATATGGCTACAACCAAGGGTACGACGCCCATCGCCTTCAAGCGTTGATTCAATGAAGCTCACCATGGATGCACAGAATGTTCTCTGGCATTTTGGCTATGCCGTCTTTTGAGAAGCGTAAGCTTTTGTATTTGTCTCCGGATGGGATATCGACATATGTCGACAGAAGGCGTCGTTTACTGACGTAATTACTTGTCACTAGATATGGACGGATATACCAAGAACCAAACGCAAAAGGGGTGGTTGACAGCCATTCTAGAGCTCGGTGCCTGGTTTGGCGCAGTTTTATCCGGCTTCATTGCTGAAGTATGCTCTCGCAAATACGGTGTACTGATTGCTACCGGCGTCTTTATGCTCGGTGTTGTTGTACAGATTTCGTCCATTTCGGGCGGTCACGAGTCCATTTTAGGAGGACGTTTTATCACGTATGGTCCCAGGCCTTTTCAACTTTGCAAAGCACTAACATGGTTGAAGGGGCATTGGTGTTGGAAGTTTGTCAATGATTGTGCCGCTGTACAACTCCGAATGTGCACCACCGTGAGTCACTGGGAAATCAGTCGTTGCAGGGCCCCAATGCATTCTAATTGATACTGCCGTAGTGAGGTCCGAGGTGCTCTTGTCGCTCTGCAACAGCTTGCCATTACTTTCGGGATTATGATCAGCTTCTGGATTGAGCAAGTTACCCCTTTTTCCCAATAAGACATCCCTCCAGCTAACATCAATGCAGCTAGTATGTTGTGTCCCTAGATAACTCAGCTCAAAGCTTCCGTTTACTGGGAATTTACCACTTTACTGACAACGTGTTAGTGGTTGCAACTACATCGGCGGCACAACAGAGGAGACGCAGTCCGATGCGTCTTGGCTGGTACCTATCTGTTTGCAACTAGGCCCTGCTACCATACTTTTCGTTGGAATGATATGGATGCCTTTCTCGCCCCGTTGGCTGATCCACCACGGCCGCGAAGAAGAGGCCCGAAGGGTCCTCGCCAACCTCCGGGATCTCCCAGAGGACCACGAACTGATCGAACTCGAGTTCCTTGAAATCAAGGCCCAATCTCTCTTTGAGAAGCGCAGCACTGCAGAGCACTTTCCCCATCTCCAAGAACTGAATGCGTGGAACACCTTCAAATTGCAATTCGTTGCAATCAAAGCCCTTTTCCAAACCAAAGCCATGTTCAAGAGAGTCATCGTGGCGACAGTCACAATGTTCGTTTTCCCTTCGAGCGGAACCGTCAGTTGCATAAAATTAACATTACTTATAGGTTCTTCCAACAGTGGACAGGAATCAATGCAGTGAGTACCTCACCTTTCATCCTCAACCGAACTTCTGACCCCTAGTTGGTCATGTGACTACACTCTTGCTTCTTTTTCTTTGGACTCTCCAGTGGCCACAAGAGGCTGGATAATGGATTTCCATCCTCATGACTTGAAAAGGCACATTGAAAATTGAAAGCGAAAGTAGGCTGACTGAAACGATAGGTTCTGTACTACGCACCTCAAATCTTTGGACAGCTAGGCCTCAGCGAGACAACTACCAGTCTGTTGGCTACAGGCGTGGTTGGTGTCGTAATGTTTATTGCCACAATTCCAGCAGTTCTTTGGATCGACCGTGTCGGTCGTAAACCAGTTCTAGCCATAGGAGCTATCGGCATGGGCACTTGTCATCTCATTATTGCTGTAATTCTTGCCAAGAACATTGACCGTTTTGATCAGCAGCCTGCCGCTGGCTGGGCCGCTGTTTGCATGGTCTGGCTATTTGTTGTTCACTTTGGATGTTAGCTCTCCTCCAGCCCAAGTCCAAACATCTCGATATCGAAGTGGCTGACAAAATAACAGATTCATGGGGTCCCTGTGCGTGGATTATTATTGCCGAAGTATGGCCCTTGAGCACACGTCCGTATGGCGTATCGCTTGGTGCTTCCAGTAACTGGATGTAAGTACTGCCATAACCACAGGCTTTTGAATGCTTCTGACAGCTATCTCATAGGAACAACTTCATGTAAGGGCCTGATAATACTCAGAGTACCTCAACTTATGAAGCCTGTACTGACAATCATGAACAGCGTGGGACAAGTTACTCCCGATATGCTAACAAGCATCACGTACGGCACTTACATTTTGTTCGGCATCTTAACGTATCTTGGAGCTGCCTTCATTTGGTTCTTTGTTCCCGAAACCAAACGTTTATCATTGGAAGAAATGGTATGTAATATCTCAACTTTCCCCCACCGGCGTGCACTCCACTTCGTGTGCTAACAAATGTCTCGACTAGGACCTGGTGTTTGGTTCAGAGGGGGCTGCCGCTGCTGACTTTGAGCGTATGGAGGAGATCAACAATGAGATTGGCCTAAGCGCGGTTCTGAACCACACCTCACCTACTGATCGACTCTCTCAGTCGGCTGACCTGGAGAAGATTGAGAACTAGTGCAGTTGTCACTGAGTGTCCTTGAATCCGGCGGACTTGAGACATTCATTGGCTGTATGGCAAAAGCATCCGAAGCATTGTTATCAGAGCAAGCCCCGTACAGTCTTTTCGGGCTAAGGCTGGTTTCATAAGATTGGTTCTTATAAGATTGTAATTTGTTAACTGTAGGAGCAACCTATAATTATTCTAAGATTTTCTTTTTATAAAAGAAAGCCGCTTATAAGCGTTTATAACTAGTATGAATAATTATTGCTATAGCTAACTAGTATAACCTTATAGAGAAGATTTGGAGTAAGATGCTTATGTATTTTCACTAGAGAGTTGTAGTTGTATTTATCTTCTGTGGAGTGTGTGGGGAGGCAACCCGCGATTCATAATACCACGGTTTCCCGGCTCGGCCAACGCGTCCACCCAATCAACAAGTAGATGCGCGCAAAACTTGGCCGGCTGGCGTAATGGTAGCGCTTCAGACTTCTATCTTCTCTTTCTAGGGATATAGCTATCTGAAGGTTGCGGGTTCGAGCCCCGCGTTGGTCAGCTTTTTGTCATTTCCCAGATTCATACTGTTTCTAGGCTGTTCCGTTTGTTGCCTTTGTGGAAAATGCGTAGTGATTACAATACAAGTAGTCAGACTTCCTTCTTATTATTCTGTTTAGTAGCTATCTCAAGGTTGCTATATATTTACGCCTTGTGTTGGTTGTTGTTATAGCTTGGATCGCAATGGATTTCAATTTGCTATTTTATGGTTTATCAAGGTTTTCTGTTAAGCGGGGCTTGGTGTACTGGGGTTGTTAGGTTAATTGATACCTGCCAAAACGGGGCCGGGCAGACCTGGCATGTTATGTCTTCCATACTGGTTTTCGCTTCTGAGTAAAAGCTGACATGCCCTCTTTTGCGTCAACACTCTGAGCATGTAACGCCATAACCCGCCCTGCCCAGCTTGCGGCGTCTTCGTACCCATCTCCTCCACCCTCGTTGACACCGTCGCCTTTCATGCCGAGCTGTGTCCAGTATGCCCACTTTCCCAGAGCCATAGGTTGTCCTGCAGACCCGGCCAACCGTTCCACTATCTCTGCTACGCGTTCCTCGAACGCTGCGGCGGCCGTGTCGGTGGACTCTGCATGCTCGGGAGTAGCCACCACATCCACAGCACCCCGCATGTCGTCTGCTGTGACTGCTTCTGCAGAAAGAAGAAGTCGGTAGGCTTGACCCGGCGGGAGACGACGGGATACGGCGGTGGCAGGGCTTGTGCAAGGGAGCCCGATACTAGCACCAGGGAGCTGGAACTTGGTCGTGGAAAGAGCAATGGGATAGTCCGTCGAAAGTGCCAGCTGCAGCCCGGCCGCGGTTGCGAGACCTTGTATGGGGCACACGACGGGTGCCGGGCTGTGCCGGATGAGAGACATGATCTCGGCGCAGAGGGCGAATGTGTGCTTCACTTCGGCGTGAGACAGAGATGCGATCTGCTTCAAGTCGTGGCCTGAGGAGAAGACAGGGCCTGTGCTGCGGATGACAAGCACATTAGGTAAACCCTCCCTATCACGCTGCCATTCCCTGGCATCGACAAGCCAGCCATGCTTCAATGAGACGCCTGATCCTGATTGGGCATGATGACTCGCAGATTCCAGTTCGGATAAGATGGAGGGTTTGAAGGCAGGGAGAGTCAAGACCCTACCTGTCGCCCGTGACGTAAGATGCGACAGCAGCTGTGTGCGGAGATCCTCAAGAACTTCAAGACTCAAGGCATTGCGTTTCGCCGGGTTCCTCAGATGGAGGTATGCAGCCTTCACTGGGAGCTTGGGGAGTTGCATTGGTGCCATTGGTAACCAAATCAGTCGGTATCGGGATATACAAGGACGCAAAGACTGATGATTGTTAATTCTTTTTTGGAAAGTTGATGACAAAGAGTTGACCACCGGAGATGAGCAGCAACAACCTTGTACTACGTAAGGTGGTCTAGGCAGTGGGAGTAAGCGTCATGCACGGTTCATGCACACCATTTCATCTGGAACTCGTCAACAATAAAACTAGCTTAATCAAAATCAACAATAACAAACAATCAGTGACACCGATGGTCATTCATGTATTATAGTGCTAAAATGGCGAGAATTCTTACTTAGTTTATTCTTGTCATTATTGCCGTATATAAACACCATTTGAATTGGTTTACTATCACGTTGCTAGGAACCCCCCTCTACTGATGATAGCACCTGCGGGTGGGGTAACTTAACTATGCTTTTGTTAAAATTACTAGATGAAGAAATTTCAAATACGCGTCGACCAGATTTCTGGACCATTGCAGCGGCATGAAGGGTTCAGTGTTACAAGTAAGAATATCTGAGTTGCTGAGTTACATACGATACAATGCCACTAGTTCTGTTACCATTTGGGCACGCCCACTCAACATGTCCAGTAACTGAGGGCTAGTACGCAGACCCTTTCTCAGTTTCTTACCTAAATGAGTGATAGAGATTCCACTACACAGAAACCGGAAACCTGGATGTCGATTGTGTGGCCAAAGATGCATGATGTTTTCGCTTATTGGATGGAGGTCCTCTGCCATGACTTAGGTGAATCAGTAGACCAATCGCGTACATGGTGTAACTGACGTCGAGTGTATCAATGACGCAGGGATATTGCATAGTCTGGAAGATCCACATTATCCTTGCCATTGACAACACTTAGGAGATGACAAAAGGCAGTGAGAGTTGCTCCAAGGTGAGCCCTCAGGATCCTATACATGCATGTCCGAGCGCTAACAATGACGACACTGCTTGAACGTCACCGGAACTGCTTTTGCAACGCCTTAGGTCTTCGTGGCTTCAATGGTGGTTGGAGAAACTGTCTGGAATTTTGATCAATGTTATAGAAGTGGCACTGATAATGTTCTTCCGTTAAAATCCCAGTCACCTCTCTAGTGGTCTCAATGACTCCATGCAACCAGGAAGCAACCGTAAATAATTCCACTCTCCTGACTAAACTACACGTTTTGGGATGTTAGCCTTTACCAATCGGGCAAAAAGGTTCAAAAGTTTTCAGAAAATGACCAATGGGATGTATCATGTTGATTAGCAGATGAAAGTTTAGCCGAACAATCTGACTATTGATATTGGCAGATCTCTAAAGCATAAACTGAGTTTCATGACTCAGGATATCTATAGGATCTTCGTGTCGATTAAGTTTGAAAACGGACCTGACTTGACAAGGTTGCGAGCCTTGATGATCGTAGGCGAAACTCTAATCACAACATAGCCAACCAAAATCGTAGACATCGCACGTATAAGCATAAGTCTGGCATCTATACTATTGGTAGGAAATGAGTTAATTTATCATTTGGAAAGTAGCCGGATTCATGGCCAGGTATTTTAACACGTAAAGCTGTTGGATGAAAGTAGATCCGATGCGCCTTGATACATAGGGTTCAGTACATGCCAGACTTAAGTTATCCGCTCAATTCAGTCAAGCCTAGAAATTAGCTTGCTATGGTTTGATGATGAGATAATCTCTTATATCCATGAAGCTTCACATGCGTTGCGCTGTTGTTCAATGCTATTGACACTGAATCGCGACGCCAATGTTACTTTGATGCTTGAAACAGGATTGACCATCCTAAATCAACATGGCATGAGAGAATTTGCTTTTGATTGGCAGTAAAACATCCTTTTCTCACACATAGAAGCTCGGGCTACATGCACGACATTGTGAACAAGTAAATCAATGCTTCTAACTCAGATTGTCAATAGCTTTGCTGTCGTTGTAATTGAAACCTCAAGAGTGCACTACGGCGTCCCTTGAGGTTATCGTTTGATAGTGTATTTTTCAATATCAACATGAGCCTTTGGAATAGGCGCTACAAGCAATGGAGGCTAAATATTGGGTTGCGTCCTGCTAATAGTAAGGCCAACGAGAGAAAAGACACCTATCATACTTGCGCGGTCTTTGTCAATTTCATGCAACATGTGTGGTGTGTACCTTGTATACAATCATCGTGTAGGCGACGGGAATATTTTTTGGAACTCACTCAACTGCCGAAGAAAACCATCCATCATGACTCATCTGGAGCTAGCGCGCTTCATCATGGTGCAGGCTGGGCAAAGACCATCCCTTAATTTCTGACAGCGTTATCATGTGTCGTTCTTATGTCTCAGCCCCTCACCCAAAAAGGCGCGCACAGAAGTTTTCTAGCTCTATTGTGTCTTCGCCAACCTTACTCCATCCGCACTTCGTTGCAGAATCCTTGCTTATATTGGTAAGCCTCTAAGATTGAGATCTGTGGATGATGTGTTGGTGGCATAATTCTGCCCTCACACTAAGAAGGCCGTGCTGACAACCGGTTCCAGCAATTGATGCAACATTGCCAAATGGGCATCTGTATGGGACGCAGCATACTGGGAATGCCTGCCCTCGCAAGGAATTTCTTGGGATCGGACAGGACGCGCAGAAGGCAACCAAAATCATTCCGAAGGGTCAGCTGATGGGATATGTCCCCTGCAGTGCGGCTGAGCACTGCTAACGTAACTAGGCCTTAGCTCTATTGCGACAGCCTAGGTCTTGACACTCTGCCCTGCAAGTGCCTTAGCTAGGGGCCTCGCCAAGACTTTATGGTAGCAAATCGCAGTCCAGAAACACATTCTAGATAAGATAGCCATTTTCTCCATCATTTCCATCATTCACCGTGGCCATTGATTGCGTCCCGAATCTCTGATTACGGAGAGATGACCTAATGCAAGGTTTAGAAAATATGCGACGCCCTTCACTCAAACATATGCAGCTCATGTTTCCTGACGACTGTCGTTGAGCTGTCCAGGCCATATAGAGCAGGGGCCTGTTATACGTCCAGCAAACAGAGAGCGGTGGCTCCACTCACGAAGTCCTACGGACACGGAGTCGACCACTGTGGTGGAATGCGTTCGTGGGTCTGATGAGTGACTATGCAACATGCTGTCTCAACTAAACTTCTTTCCCGGCTTGTATCGAGAATTTTGAAACCATATCTAAAGGCATACGTCATAAACAGCCAGTGGCGTTTTCTTCTTCTTCTTCTTCTTCTTTTTTTCTTCTCTTTTCTTTAGCACACAACCCAGAATCTGCTAAATCTGACACTCGATCCTTAGAAAGCAGCGATATATCTGGTGGCGGCGCCACCAACATTCCCTGGCGTAAGCGCATTCGAGCATCTTGCAAATGACGGAACCAACGTCTGAGTTCTGATTGTCACGGAGCGAGATTTGCAATCGTACTGAGGGGGGTGACTACTGCGTAAGCTTCCGAACAATCTGGTCAAGCGCGGCTAGTCACTATTAGCTGGAGCCTAGCGCAAGCCCACAACGTGGGCTGTGTGCATTTGGGCAGCCGGCATGGCGCCACTGCAACGACGACCCCAGGTTGCGTCTCTCGCGTAGGGATGGACGCCGAAACTCTAATAGATATCAGCCCGGCATGACCGGTCATTTTGGGTGTTTCGATGCCTTGCCCCTTGCCAGACAATCGCAGAAGCACCAATCAGAATGTCTCCTTGGGCTCAACTAAGGTTGGGC